TCATTTTATTTTGCTTTAGATACTGAAGATGGAATCTGATAGAATTCCGAAACGTTTATCTATGTTCCCTTTTTGTTAATGAACAATGTTCTATACCATAAGTGTCGTAATATTGTTTAACGTACAGTTCGTATCGGACTTGTAATTATCATGGATATCAGTAATTAGGTCTAGACATCACTATGTACTATGATTCTCAGCTGAAAGAAAAGTTTGAATAGTCCTAATGGTGTAACGATTCTTTTCAGAGATCACTAAACACAAATAATATTTTACTTTAAATGTGTATTTATCAATGTATTTCCCAATATGTATATCCAATTAATTTTTTTTGTATCAAATTTAACAATGTACTTATAAACAATAATGATAGGGTTAGATACTCAGGATTTTTTATTTCTGAAATTTCCTGACTCATACTAAAATTGATCTTATGGTAAACCTGCTGTATAAATTCGTCAATATTTCTTTCACAAGCATAACGTAAAACAACATACAGTGAACACCATACACTTAACTATGCCTTGTTGTTGTTTTTTTATGTAATATTTCATTGTATGTGTCACGTTTATTACTTCTGGAACATTCTTTAACTAGAATTATTTATTCAAATCGAATAATACATTCTTCAATATAAAGTCATCGCTTTGTCTTGGTTATTTAATGATAACACTTCTGTCTAGTGAGTTTCGTTATAACAAGAGATCCGTGGTTTATTGTTAAAATATCTGAATATTGATTTGAACGTTGTTGCTCAGCTTAGGTTTCAGGATGCCTTAGGTAGCCTTTTGACCAATCGAATTCAACCTAAATCGACAGTCGAAAGCCAGCTACATGGTTTAACTTCAGTATGTATATATGGCTGAACAAAGCTTATTAGGAGCTCACTGCTGGTCTGTTATTAAGAGCAAAGTTTCACAATGAGCTATCAATAGAAAATCCAAACATTAATATATATATATGTATGATGATTTCTCCAAGAACAAATGTAGTTACTAAGAGAAAAAAAACAACAACAAAAAACATTCATAGACCGAATAATTAGAATATGATATTTTTTGCTTGAACTACAATTCTAATGTAAATGGACAGATGATACTAAATGTTTGGATTAAACTTCATATTGTTTATTCGAGTTCTGTAGCTATTATAAAACATCTTATATGGTTTATTCGAGTTCTGTAGCTATTATAAAACATCTTATATGGTTTATTCGGGTTCTGTAGCTTTATTATAAAACATCTTATATTGTTTATTCGGGTTCTGTAGCTATTATAAAACATCTTATATGGTTTATTCGAGTTCTTTAGCTATTATAAAACACCTTATATTGTTTATTCGGGTTCTGTACCTATTATAAAACATCTTATATGGTTTATTCGAGTTCTGTAGCTATTATAAAACATCTTATATGGTTTATTCGGGTTCTGTAGCAAGATGTTTTATAATAAAGCTACAGAACTCGAATAAACAATATAAGATGTTTTATAATAAAATATGGTTTATTCGGGTTCTGTAGCTTTATTATAAAACATCTTATATGGTTTATTCGGGTTCTGTAGCTTTATTATAAAACATCATCACCATAAGTTTAATCTAAAAGTTTAAATCTACTGAGGAGTTAGTTATCCTCTTTAGCAACGTCTGCAAGGGGCTTTAATCCTCAGCTATATTTCTTTTGACGATTTAGTTGTTTTTTCCATAGTTCCAGTGAGGATTTTAGTTTCCAGCTAGATTTATTTTGAGTATTTAAGTGTTCTTCTTCCACACTTTCTACTTAGAACTTTCATTCCAAGCTTATATTTCTACTGAGGGTTTGGTTTTTTTATTTAGTATTTTCTGTCCCCCACCCCCACAGTGGCACAGCGGTATGTCTGTGGACTTACAATGCTAGAAATCGGGCTTCGATGCCTGTGGGCAGCAGAGCACATTGTGTAGATTGGTGCTAAATTACAAACAAACTATATTTTCTAGTGAAGACTTTAGTCCCCAACTATATTTCTATTAAGGATTTAATTTTCTTCTTTCATACTCTCTACCAAAGACTTTAATCCTCCTACTATACTTCTACCGAGGAATTACTTTCTATCTTCTGTACTTCACACTTTTTAAAAGTATTCATTTCTCCCCTCCTTTTCACACTCTCTTCTGTACTTCAC